TGAATACATCGACCTAGTCCATGAGGTGAAAAAAAGGCATGGTATATTGAGGAAACTTAAATAATTAGTATCACTGTAGTTGCTAATTCATGTGTTCATCCAATGATTATTTTTTGAAATCACAATGTGCCCCAGAAAGCTTGCTGGGCATGTAAAAGGGTAAAATACAAAGACATGAAACTAGAGTGATAGGAACAGAGAGGACTATGAAGAGTCTTAGGGGTGAATGTTAAGGACAATGGTGAAACACTGGATGGTGTTTGGAGCAGGCAAGTGAAATGGTTGGATTTGCACTTTAGAATGTTAACCATAGCTATAGTATTGGAGCACTGGTAGCATAGTGGCTAAAGCACTTGACCGCTAACCAGAAGGCTGACTGTTCAAACCCACCAGCCACTCCTCGGAAGGAAGATTGGGCAATCCTACTTCCGTAGTGATACTGCCTCGGAAATCCAAGGAGGGGTCGCTATGAGTCAGGGCCAACTCGACAGCACATAACAACAACAACAATAGTATTGGAACAAGACTAGAAGCATGACAGCAGTTAGGAGTTTATCACACTGATTTGATGTGCAAGGACAGAGGTCTTGACTCTGGTGGAGCCAGTGGCGATGCAAAGTCAGTGCACCCATGATGACCTGCTGTGAGTAGGGGTGCTAACTGATCATATTTCCACCCTCTGGACAATGTTCCAGAGAAAAACGTAGCTTTCCAACATGGTGGGGGGTGATACTCACCATCTCAGGGCTCATCAGTGTTCAGTGATTGCCTGCAGTAGGTACAAAAGGCAGTTCTCCTTAACTCTAGGTTCTACCAGCTTTATAGAGTAATTTTTACTTCAGAGTTCCTATGACTAAAAGCTGAAGCCAGACTCCAACTGAGACCAAACCCATTCTTACAACTTCGATAGTGTTCTTCCCTTGCTTTTCTTCTTATAAATCACTTTTGTAAAAGTCTCCTTTTCAGGCTATACATCTAGGGAACCACCAAAAATATATGCATAGAGCGAAATAATTCTAAAAGTAGGGTTACAAGTAACATATCTTGATGTAAGATGGAGATTAGAGAGAGAGAGTCATGAATCAAACTGGGTTCTGGCTTAGATCATGGGATGTGTGAGCAAAATGAGAAGTGGAACAGAGAGAAGATGAGTGTGCTTTTAAGTATGTGAGAAAGAGTGGACTCTCACATACTGCTGGTAAAGATGTAAAATGGCGCAGTCACTGTGCAAAACTCTTATAGGATTAGTCAAAAAGTTAAACATAGATATACATTTTACCCAGAAATTCCACTCTTAGGTATACATTCAAGAGAATTGAAAATACAGGCTCAAAGAAAACTTGTACACAAATAATTCATTGAAGATACTCACACAGCCAAAAGATGGAAACAACCTGGATGTTCATCAGCTTACCAAGATATAAACAAAAGGTAGTACATATATCCATACAAAAGAGTATTGTTCAGCCATTAAAATGAAAAGTAATGAGAAATGCTGCAATGTTTTTTTTTAATTGTAATTTGGGTGAAGATTTACAGAGCAAATTCACTTTCCATACAGCAGTTCACATACACTTTGTCTCATGTCATTGACCACAGTTTACC